GAAGTGTTGTTAGCTAAGGGTAATAAATCCTAAAAACCTAAACCTCGTGGCAGAGGGCCTATGCAGAACCCATGATGAAGTATTGTAATGATATTGCTGCCCGTAACGGTGGTCATAGTGGTCATATTGATGATAGTGATCGCAACACAACTAGGCCTCAAGCCCTCAACCCCAGGCATAAAGCTCCGTACCCGGCTCAATGAGCAAACCTAAATCTTAAGCCCAAAACCTTACATGTACTTGATGCTGAGTAAGGAATGAAGGAATCGATTCCTATAAGGGTTTAGTCTTAGGGGTTTAGGGCTTAGTTATCCCTATAGAATCCGCCCAAATTTCCCTCTCAGCCATTCCCCCATTCCTTGCTAAGCATGAGGAAGGAAAACCCTGGTCTTCAATCTCGTCTAGCTAGCCCTAAAGGAGACTCAGCGCTTGAATTTTGGTATTCAAACAACTGGGTAGGCCCCTTGGATATTTAGTATTTTCCCTAATGGCTTTAATAAGGGGCCCTATATACTAATATTTTTCAAAGGGTTTTAGTGGCTAACCCAGACAAATATTATGATGGGAGTTCTTCTTGTAAGCAGTGGTACATGCCACAGTTACATTGCTTCCCATAAGTCCCTCAAGCCTTAGACCCAGGCATCATTGACTACGGCAACAACCTCTCCGCAGCACTCAAGCAAGTCTTTCGACACCCTGCGCGAGGCCACTTTCGGTCGAAATGGGTCACTCTCACACGCGTATCAGTGATAGTAGTACTTATAGTATGTCATAGTAATATAGTAACATGGTACCGGTAATAGTTCTAGGAAGAGACTATACAGTTTTCTTTGCTAAAGGCACCCAAAAAGGGATTGAACTTGCTGGGACCCTCCTGTTGGATTTCATAATGTGTGGCCCATGCAGATGTGTGATTGTCAGCCCAATAACACCTCTCCCTAAACCCTAAGACGTGCTGAGTCAAAGGAGCCTACTAGCATGGATTTTTTGAATTTAGCTCATTGACTCGAAACATCCCAGCTGTATGGCCGTTTCTGGACATGGAGGTGCCCTTGGGACCATAGGCATACACAGGGTTACACGGGGATTGTGGTGTTGCCCCTAAAGGATAAGCTGTTGAAGTCTTTATCTAAAGCTGAGGAAAGGCTACAGGGTTGCAGCAGCCTTCGGGCATCGTTCTCAAAGGTCGCACAGTGCAGCTGAGGCTAAATGCATGTACGGCATCTAAAGAGCGATCTACGGTACTAGTAAGATCTTGGAGGAACCCGTAACCGTACTGTAGATCCAAGGCCACCCAAAGTTGACGTGGAACCCGCCAAAAGGTAGTTTGGCAAGGTGTGAACCCCTAACCACCGCCCTAAGGCGGCTACTGCAAATTTTGCCTGACCCTAAGTACTTCAAAACTTGTGAACCATTGGGCTTGAGTATACTGATGGGGTCATGCAAGACTTTACATATCAACAGTAGCCCTAAGGGTCCAACTACCAAATAACCACATACTTACCCCAAGCCTGTAGTATTATTACTATGACCTCAAACGCAAGTACCTAGTTATTGGGTACTTGGACCTCAAACCCTGGACCCCATGTATCCCTTTAAAGGGACCTAATTTTTTGGTATTTGCACCCTCTGGGTAGGATACTTCCTGGACAGCTGCCCTCGCCACTGCTCCTACGGCCTCCGGCCACTGGACGACACCTCTGGCCTGTCCCAACTCCAGTCCTTTGCGGAAGCTTGGTTTTCAGCATGACCGGGCGATTTTCGGCGATGTTTGGTAGTTGTTCTGACATGAGATCTAAACCGGAATAAGAATAACAAGTCTAGTTGTTGTCCAGACTCAAATGTGGGCTGCTTGCTGCATTCTGTTGCGGCTCTGTGCTATCTTCTTCGCCTTACCAAATGGCTTGTTGCACCGGCTGACAGGTGGAGCCATCACACTGTTGGCCAGGTGTGGGGCAGCACGTGGGGAATTCGGCTGTGCCAGCCGGATTTGCACCTTCAGGCCAACGTGCTCACACTGTCCGTGCGTGCATGACAACAAGACGATGCGCTCATGTACTTGCTGGGGTGCTCAGTCCCAGAGACTGGCCCATGTGCAGGGTGGGGAGGCCTCTAGGTCGTTCACTCCGGCGTCCATGCATCGCCATGCACGAGATGGACTTGGTGACTCAGTGTTTTCGTTGATGATCAGCACGTGGATTCTAAAAACATTCCCATCAAGTGGAAAGTTTGAGAACGAGAACTCACCAGCGGGGGCAGTGGTTGGGGCGATCGCAGGGGTGGGGTGGAAACGTGGTTCTTCTTGTTATGCAGCTTTTTTGGAGGGGCAATCAACTTTCAGAGGATAAATGTGCAGTAGAGGCTAGCAAGTGCTGATTTTGCAGAACCCGAAACCCTAAACCCATGGTTTGTTTGCCCAAAAGCCTAAGCCCTTTCGGCTCCTAGGCTCCTGGGTTGTTTGGGAAGCAGTGGGATTGCTTCAGAGTGCACGTTAGGCCAAGCCTTCAAACAGGAGTCCTCGTTTGTAATGCTCTAGCACGCCAGATCTTGATTCGAGACACGTGTGAGCTTCATGAGTTTGAGCGCAAAGCCTTGGCCCCCAAACCGTGTTGTGAGGAATGGTACCGAGGCGGCAGGCGAGAATATGGGCAGCGATCTGTGTACAGATGTGGCAAGTGTTGCCGTGGCAGATCATAGTCTGTGCAGCGTCCGGCTTCGCATGTGATTCTTAGTCGAGCATTCCCTTCGAGTGTCTTTAACGCGACGCCCAAGCGGTATGATCCTAACCGCGGATTTCATCCGGCCCCGGATGAAATCAACATTCCCCCAATGAACCTTAAGCCCTTCAACTTAAAATGTCAGAATTTCAGTGCAAAGAACTAGACATTGCGTCCACAGAAGCTGACACTGATGTATGCTCGTGTCTCTGGGAAGCAGGGGTGATGGAACGGGCTGTTCGCGCATAACTACCAGGCTTCTTGAGCGGACCGTGCAGGAGTTGCTAGAGGGTCAGTTCCTTCATTCCCTGCTAGTAGGGTTTAGGGTTTAGGAGCAAGCAGAAGAGGTTTTGCCCAGCCGTGTGCCCACGCAAGACCTTCGCGGAAAAGCTCGTGCGAGTCCTGAACCCTAAACTTTACTTCTTGTAAAGCCTACTTGGCTCAAATCCTACATAAGCCCTAGACTCTAGCCATGTACCCTAAATCGGCAAGCCCTGAAAACTCAACCGGCACCCTGAATCCTAAACAGCGTCGCAAGGATCCGAGGCTCCAGAATATGTTTTCGAGTTTAGGGTTTAGAGTATGTTTTCGAGTTTTGCTTGCCAGAATCCGAGTAAAGGCTTCTAAGACAGGAGTTTGGTGCCAGGGAGGAAAAGCTTCACCCCTAAACTGGGTTGCTGTGGAGGAACTTAAGTTATGTTACCATAATGGGCATATGCAGCAATTAATATGGTTTCCCCAATGTTGTCGTAACTTAAAATAAGTTCCTTAACAGCAACCATCACCTCATTTGTAGTCAAAAGGCGTTTGCAATACCTCTCCGGTGCTGTTTATTGGTGTCATATAGGGGGCCCTGTGCGATTCCTGATCAGTTTCCAAGAACTGGTGCCGCCAACACCCCCCCAAACAAACATGGAATCCTACAAGGGGCTCTACAAGGACTAGTGTCGTTTCACATGGGGCTTACATGAAGGTTCCACATAGGGACCCAGTTTCCATTTCTTTTTTAAGTTTGTTGTCCATTGGTTTCTCCATTATTCTAGCCCTAAATCCTTTCTGTTCTTAAGCAACCCCAGTCATTGAGGGGCAAGGTATATTCTGTAGTTCGTAACCCTAAGCCCTGCACCCTTATGCCGACCCAGCAGTCCTCGTTGCCAAGACAATGAAGGGTTTGTCCCATCTCTTAAGAAACCTGGGATCATAAACAGTTTACAGGGATGTATATGTACATATGTATATATATAATATGTATCGTCCCTCAAGAGGGGATAGAAGGGCCATGAAGGGATTACTAAGGGGCTAGGGATAAACCCAAATAATGCAGAATCAAAGCAACATATGGAGAACTACATGGACGCTGAGGATGAGAGGGATTAGGTTAAGGGCCCTGAAATTTGGACAGCCTAACCCTACATGATCCCTATAATCCCTGTAGTTTCCATTTTCTTTTCCATCTTCGCTATATATAAACCCTATATAACCCCTACATGACCCCTATTATCCTACATAACCCTAAGCCCTAAACCCCAGAAATGAAGGGATTGGAAAGGCCCTCCTCCTAGTCTTTATAGCCTAAACTGATAGATCAAGTCGGGAACCTACTCCACAAGTGTCTTTGGTTAGGAACCTAATTAACCGTAAACCTCTGTACACCCTGGAGTTTACGGGGCTTTCCAAAGATGAGGATGCGCTGAGAACATAGTTCCACCCCTCAGCTCCCCTGTGCAACTTCTCAGCACGACTTTATATGGGTGGTTGTCAAAATTATGGTCCTTTTTAGGATCCTTATTATAGTACGGCACCTAATATTTAGGGTACCCAAAAAAGGACCATAATTTTGACAACCAGCCATATCCTGCTAGTACCCTGAGGGTCCAAGTAGCTATTAATAATCATGTACACTCCCAAAGCCAGTACTATACTTCCTGTTATCCTAAACACAAGCAGCTAGTTATTGCATACTTGGACCCTCTGGGGTATTTCCGTGAACCTCAACCAGTAACCGGAAAGCCTGAAACCTGGACCTATGGACTCTCCAAGCCTGCGTCCGTAAGCCCCTGAACCCTACGCTAAAAAAGCCTTTAGCTCCCAAAAGCTCTTGAACCTCAAGCCCTCGCACCGCAAAGCCTGAACCCTGAAACCCTAAACCTCAAACCTTGAACCCTCAACCCCTAGACCTTAAGCCCAGAGACCCCAAAACCTAGCCCCTATGTTGGCTTTGATCCTCCAAACCTGTACGGTTTAGGGGTGTAGGGTTTAGGGCAAGCTTCAAAAAATCCTCAGGTCGAGCATGGCCCTCTTCATGATCACTCTGCACAACAAGGGCGTGCTGACGGGAGGGAAGAACACCCTCATCACCGTGCGCAGCTTGGGAGTTGGGGGTTACAGGTGGGCTGGGCGGAGGCTCATAGTCCTAAACGCCAAACGCGTCCCTAAACCTTAAAACCTAAACGCCCTTCTCCTTAATTATGAGCCGCTCACAGGACGGGTCAGGATTCAGTGAAAGCGGGCCTGAATAATTGCCCATGATGGAATGCAACAGGTAAAGGGAAATTGAGAATTACTTTTGGAAAGTGGGCTCATATAGGGGTGTCGTAGAGGGTACCACAAATGGACTTGATATAGGGGGGTTAGGGTTTAGGTTTCAAGGTTTAGGGTTAAGGGTTAGATGGTAGCTGTTCAAAATACCTGTCCCCAAAACGGCCACAATGTAGGTTCCCTTTTTGGTTTGGATTTCTTCTTAAGGAAGTGTATTCCCCACGGTCCCTCCTTTGCAAGGACCTTGTGGAAAAAATCAGGGATTATCCTGAATAGCTAATTACTTTTTTGGTGAACGCGGCAGGTGGAGGCGTTCTTATTCGACATATAGGCTCCTGTCAATACTAAGGTTGCTGAGGGGCCATTCAGATTTTGGGCTTTCGGGTTCAGGTTTCAGGGTTTACGGTTTGAGATTCAGGGTTTAAGTTTGAGGGTTTAGGTTTTGGGGTTCCCAAGAAACATAAAGGGTGGACATACGGGTCCCTTCGGTAGTTCAGTATAGTCCATAATTAGCACATTCCCTAATAGGAACCCGTGTCCATTAATCATGTAATAGACTGTGGCTCCTATGAGTGATTGTCTAAACTCCTAGTATCCACCTCAATAACCCCAGTGATACTCCTCTATATGATCCCCTATAGACCCCCCTTGAAGGAGTTTAGACACTAAACCCTAAACCCCAAATCCTAAACCCTAAACCCTACTTCCTAAACCGTAAAGCCCAAACCCAAAACCGTTTAATCCCCTCATAGGGATTGGGGATTAGAGCAGTGCAGAGATTTGGGTTGGGATTGCTGAAGGATTAGCAACCTGAACGCTAAACCCTAGACCCTAAACTCTAGACCCTAAGCCCTAGAACGTAAACTCTAAACCTTACACCCTAAACCCTGGAATCTAAACCCTAAACCCTTACCCACGGTTAGCGACGGATGCTCAGGCTGTGTAGGTTGCAAGGCCAAGACCGTGGTGCACAAGACAAGCTGCACATAAGAGGAGACTTTCCAATCTTCTTATTTGGGGTTTAGGGGTTGAGGGATTCAGGAGTTCAGGGTTTAGGGTTTAGGGGTTTAGGGCGTATGAAGTTCTGCCACTCGCAGCACAAAGAAAGAGACAACAGAAACCTTAAACCATCCGTCCTACAACCAAGCACCCAAGATGTAAGACCGTCACCCTCACACATTGCGTGGTAGGGTCAGCGGGCCTCAGTACGTAAAGCAGCGTAATGACCCCGGGGTCTTTTTGCAGCTTGAAGGGGTGGAAAGTACACTTAGTATACAGTCCCCTTGACATAAAAAGCCTTAACCCTTGAACCCAACCATTAAGGGTCTTCTCATAGACTCCCCAAAACCTTCAAAGCGCTTTTTGCTGTAAGGACCCAGAAGTATTTGGTTAATGTATATGAGAAATTCTTACGGAATATGCTAGACAAAATCCTCCTATTTTGATAAGCTCGAGACCAGTTGTCATCAGGTACTTTTTACCATCTTCGTGCCGGCTCTGTTTCTTACTGGCACGCATGCCACCCTGCAGGCGCCTGCGGAGAATCGCACGGTTTTGAAGGTTTGGGGTTGAGGGTGAATCCTGGAGAGCTTTTGCAAAATAGGGGTTAGGGCTGATCAAGGGTAACAATCATGGTTGAATAGTGCATGGGGTTTACAGCGGTTAGGCAGGGTTACATGATGGAACAATGGAAGCTGCTTTTTCATTTTTGGGTGGGTTTCTGTCCCTCTAATGACTAGCATACTCCTTAGGTCATAGCTTGGACCTTAGACCCTTAAGTGTTTGGGATTCCCGTATGCTCCTATTAGACGTACCTAAGGGTTGGACCCTAAACCCTTTAACCGAGCAGAGCACGGTATGCTGAGGTCTATGGCGCAAGCTGGACAAAGTTCGCAAGTTTCGAATGTTGAGGGTTAAGGTTTGTGGTTTAGGGGTTTGGGGTTTAAGGTTCAGGGTTGAGGGTTTAGGGTTGAGGGTTAAGGTTTGGGGTTAAGGGTAGCAAAGATCTGATATTTAGGCTCTGGCGTTTAGCATCCCCAAGCCAGGCCACTCAGTGCAGAAAGGGCAGTTGTTGAAAATATGGGCCCGTAATACACCCAAGAACTACACAAATATCATCGGCAGATTATGGTGGTCCTCATTCGGAACTCTATAGGAACCATTTTGAAAAAAGAAACTAAACCCGAAACCCTGTAGCAACCTATATCCTTGCAAGCCTTACAACGGAAAAAAAATATCTGCTTGGGATTTCTTCGGCTCTAGCCCGAAATTTAGGGTTTAGGGCTTAGGGGTTTAGGGCTTTAGGGGTCCTACGTGGCACGTAGGAAATCCGGGGAGATGCTGGATCTCTTACGGAGATGAGAAGGCTTCTCAAGCTCGCGGATCCCTTGTTTGGAGTCTACTTGCACTTCTTTCTGTATAGCCCTGAAGACATACACCGCACAATCTGCACTTTGCCCGTTTCTTGAACCCTACAAACCAAACCCACCCTAAACCCTAAACCCTTAATTCCTAAACCCTAAACCCTAAATCCTAACATTACAGCTCTACCTTACAAGGCTCTTGCACCCCCCATAATTGGCTGCTCAGCTGTGTCCAGGCCAGTTTCCCTTGAGCACATGGAGACGGACCTTCCTCCCATGAGGGTGCAGCTTGAGCGAGCCAGAACAATCCTTGCCCTTCGAGGGGGTATACTTGGAGGCTCAGGCGACTTAGGTAAAACCTAAACCTTAAACCCTAAACCTTAAACCCTAAACCCTAAACCCTAAACCCTAAACCTTAAACCCTAAACCCTAAACCTTAAACCCTAAACCCTAAACCCATCAGCTGCCCAGACATCAGAGATACCACAACGTCAAGATGGCCCTTCAAAGGGACCTTGCAATCCAAGACACAGCATAAGCCAAAGCTCAAGCCGAAGCCCTACGAAGCCTTCCAGGCAGAGCCGTATACACACTCCTCCAAAACTAACATGAACAAAGGGCACTACAAAGACAACTGTCTTTTTGAAGGGGAACCGTATCAGCTTGCATGCTTGTCGGGGGAGGGTAAGCCCTGCACCCATACACCCCCACAACATGTTTAGAATCCACGCGCAACATCCCCATAATGTCACCGCAATATCTCTCTGCTGCAAGAAGCAAAGAAGATGGCTCCAAAAAACCGGGGAGAGGATTGGACAACTGCGATTGGCTCTCGCAGATGTGATGTGGAGTGCCTCCTGTTAATTTGGGGTTTAGGGTTTAGGAGGTGTCCGCGAAAATCATACATGAGAGATTCCCTAAACAGGGGCCCTAAGACCCCAAGATAGACTCCGATACACTACAACCCTGGCGATGGCATGGGGACCCCATCAGATGAAGATGCTTCCTTCTGGTTCCCAATTGCCCTGCTCCAAAATGATCTGTTAGTTGAGCTTGCAATTCAGCAGCTCTAGGCGACCCTAAACTTTGAACACAGCACCTAAATCCCCAAAGCCTACTCCCTAAAAGAAAAACATGAAGTCTTGAGGCCTCACTCCACTGGATCACTTAGTATCCTTCTGTTCAGCGTAGGGCGCTTTGTAGAGTCAATGCGGCCCGCACACGTTTTTCAATGCCTTCTGAGGCAAGCAGCTTCCACGACCATCGAAGCCTCTTTGTAACGAAGACAAGTCGACAGCCTGTTCTCATTATCATTATTGTTAGTCCGTTAGTATTCTGTTATCATATGTGTAGATAGACGGATTAACAGATAGATAGTTAACTTGGGGGCTAGATCTCGCTGTACTTTTGTTTTTTGAGAGACGAACAACACAGACTGTTGTCTCTGCAATAGGTGGGTAAAAAACACGGCTCATATGACTCATATGATCCTTCTACAGCCACGACCCATGGGGCTGCTGATGGTCTCGTGAAGTTGCGTGGTGTTGCGCTGATGCGCCAGAACAGTTTGGAGGCCTTCTTGGATTTTTGGTTTGGAGTTTCATGGTGGGTGTACAAACATATGGTAGTGTTCAGAGTTCATAGGTCTATGACAAAGGGTGCAGATATAAGGTTCCGAGGGTCACTATTCAGGGTTTAGGGTGCAGTTTTTACGGGATAACCTGTTACTTGTAGATGTCGGTAGTAAAAACCCCGCAGAGAAATCGTTCTAGATTGCTCTAGCCGCTAAGAAATGCCTTTCAAAGGTCTGACTGGCAGTTCGTCCCTAAACCCCAGACCCCAACCCAGCTTTGCACAGTAAAGCTCGACCGTAAAGCCCAAACACAACCTAACATGGAGTGCTAATGGCGCCGAAGACGGCAGACCTTGTTTGAGGGTTCCTTTTTCATGTGGGTGGCATAGACCCTGAGCCACTTCCCTCTTGGCTGAGATGCATTTCATGCACCCGTATACCCAAGACACCTACACCCCAAACCGGGACATTCAACCCTGAAGCCAACCCATTGGTAAAAAGGGTTTCCCATATATAGTTATTAATATGGAGACAATGGAACAGAAAATGGACACTTCTATAGGGTTCAGGGTTTAGGAATGGAAAAGAAACGGAATCCACTATCCTAAACCCCAGATCCTAAACCCCTAAACCCTAAACCCCAGACCTTGACATTAAACCCCTAAAACTCCTGAACATCCTAAACCAGAAAGCCCCACCATGATCTGGAGACCCAAATCCTCGAACCTTTACTGGGTTGCTGTTAAGGAACTTAAATCAAGTTATCATAATGGGTATATATGGTAATTAGCACGGTTTCCCCAATATAGTAACTTACATTAAGTTCCCGAACAGCAACCCAGTTTTAGAGCCCCAGATCGCTACTTGCAGGTTCACAGAAAGCAT